TCATGTTCCCAAACTTAGCACTAACCTTTTATTTGTTAGTAGTTTAACAAAATCAATGATTTGCAACATAACCTTCTTTCCTACTTATTGTGTTTTTCGGGTCTCGAAGTCTCAGCGGACTATTGGGAGTGGCCATGAGGCGAATGGGATATACTTGTTGGATGTCTCTGATCAAAGTTTTGGATTACCTAGTGGAGTAGCTTTGGAGTCTATTTTATCAGAGTCAGTTGATAGAGTCATGATGTCATTTCAGATTTGGTCATTTGTCGTTTTCAGCTTTGAGTCATTTGTTTCCAGAAATGTTTAAGGGAATATCCCTATCGAGCCTTCATTGTGAGTCATGTGAACTTGCAAAACATTGTAGACAATATTTTTCAGTGAGTAATAAAATATCTGTTTCTCCTTTCCATATTGTGCACTATGATGTGTGGGGGCCATATCATTAACCTGCTATGGGGGGTTACAAATATTTCATTCTTTTCATTGATGATTTCTCTTGTTACACCTGGATTTAACTCATGAAATCCTAGGATGAAGTACCAAATATTGTACAAAAATTTCATGAGCTTATACTTACCCAGTTTAACACACAGATCCAAATATTCCGATCTGATAATGCAAAGGAATATTTTGAGAAGATCCTTTCCTCCTACTTTGATACTGATGATGGGCATTTTGGTAGCTCCTAGTTTGCTGGTAACTCGGATGCTGAGCTGGAGCATTTCCTGCTAGAAGATGGCTTGGATGCCGAACTGACTGGGCTGAATTAGGAAGTTGTTCAGGTACCGAGCTAGGTTGATTGTCGAGCTATGTAGTTCTTTAGAGGGACCTACAAGGAAACAATGCCAGAGTGCTCGGGTTGCTTTTACCCGACGTGGGCGCTCCGATGATTAAGTTAGTACTGAGTTGTGTGAGCTGAATGCTAATATGCTATTAAGCTTGTGAGCAATAAATTGTACCTCCCCCTTGAGGTTGAAGATGAGGCCTATATATATGTGTTGTTTGTCGTGGGCTTCACGCATTGCGTCTGAGATCTCCGGGAGGTCGTGCCTAACCGGTTCGAAGTCCTCAGAGGTAGTTGTGCACGTAGACCAGTCTTTGCGCCTTGTTCGGTTTCCTCTAGAACATTTGGTGCAGGGGCCAACTTTCGAGAAACTCGGGAGTGACAGGATATTGATGCAGAATTGGTCGGCGAGCACGTCTCGTAGGTCGCCACCTGGACCTCAACCAGGCCGGAAAGCCCTCGAAGGAGGTCGCTCACGTCGAGGCCACTTAGGCTGGTGGCGAGGTGCCACAGGTCGGTTCTAAACGAGGTGCTGCTAGCCGCCCTGAGTTGTGGATGAGGTCACCAACTAGGTTTCCACCAGGTTACAAGTCGCCAGGTCAGCGGAAGAGGTAGGTCGCCAGGTCGGCGGAGGTAGGTCGCTAGCTAGGACTTCATTAGCTAAGGCAAGTCATTGCATAGGTGGTGTCTGAATGTCATCCAGCTGTTCTGAGATGCTATGTGTCATGATGTCATTGGAGGGCCAAATCCGCCCTCATTAGATACCTTTGGAGTTATTCATCAGAGTTCCCGTTCCTACACTCCTCAACAAAATGGAGTGGCGGAAAGGAAGAACAGACATGTGGTTGACGTTGCGAGGAGCCTCCTTTTTGCTTCCCATGTTCTTGTTAAGTTTTGGGGGGATGCTGTCCTTACAGTTACATACTTGATAAACTGAATGCCTTCCTAGGTTCTAGGTTTTAAAACTCCCTTGAGTTGCTTTTTCCAAATGAGAATCTCCTCTCTTCCTCTTAGAGTGTTTGGGTGCACTTGCTATGTTCATGTTCACAGTCATTGAAGACATAAGTTTGAGCGTAAAGCACACAAGTGCGTCTTTTTGGGATATGCCTCCACATAGAAGGGATACTGCTGTTTTGATCTGGTCCGTGGCACTTGCTTTGTTTATAGAGATGTCACATTTGCAAAGTTTGTTCCTTTCTTTGGTACTTCTCCTGAGGGGGAGCATTTAGAGGAGTTGTTTGCATTGTCACCATCTGTTCCTCTTCCAATTCCCATTGAATCTTCTATGGAGTCCCTCTATTGGCTCTTCTTCTCATGCTCTTGCTCCCCCTCCTCCTCCTGCTCATCCTCCCACATTTCCTTTCCATTCTATTATCCAAAGGTGGTACCAGAGACAGACTTAGAGACATGCAAGTTGTTTCCACGCCTTCAGATGTGCCTCTTGCCCCTTCGATCACTACTGAGGTAACATGTCAGCCCTCTTCTACCACTTTGGATACCTTCCCTGACCTTGATCTCCCTATTGTCCTTCACAAAGGCAAAGGGAAATATACAGCTCATTGCATTTCCAAACACCTGTCCTGCAACATTCTTTCCCCTTCCTATTATTCCTTCCTTGCTTCTGTTTCCACAGAAGCCTTGTCCAAACCAGAACGGAGGAATGCTATGATGATTGAACTAGATTCTTTGCATAAGAACAATACCTGGGAAATTGTGGATTTGCCTGAGGGAAAGGAACTAGTTAGCTGTAAGTGGGTGTTCACTATTAAGTATCGTTCTGATGATACTGTTGAGAGATATAAGGCCCATTTGGTTGCTAAAGGATATACTCAGATGTATGGTATTGACTACCTGGAAACTTTTGCCCTAGGAGCCAAGATGACTTCAGTTTGAGTTTTGCTATCTTTAGCTACTGCTTTTGATTGGCCTCTTCATCAGTTTGATGTAAAGAATGCTTTCTTGAATGGGGACCTACATGAAGAGGTCTATATGTCTTTACCTCCAAGGGTGTATGGGAAGGAGATGCAAGGAAGGGTCTGTAAATTGAAGAAGTCTCTTTATGGCCTTAAGCAATCTCCTAGAGCCTGGTTTGACAAATTTCATGCTGCTCTTGTTGCTTTTGGCTACATACAGACTTAGTCGGATCATACCTTGTTTGTTAAGAGGAGAAATTCCTTAGTGACCCTTTTGATTGTCTATGTTGATGATATTGTGGTTACTGGTAATGACACCCAGGAAGTTGTTCATCTCAAAATTTTTCTTAACACAAAGTTTGAAATTAAAGACTTGGGGGAACTTAGATATTTCTTGGGAATTGAAGTTGCCATATCTAAGGATGATCTCTTCATTTCTCAATGGAAGTATGCTCTTGATCTTCTTGTAGATACTGATAACCTGGGTGCTCGACCTGCTTCTACTCCTATAGGCCTAAATCATAAGCTGTCAGCTACTGGAGGTGAACTGTTGCCTGATAAGGGAGTGTTCTAGAGATTGGTTGGAAAGTTATTATACCTTTGTATGACTCGACCAGATATTTTCTATGCAGTTAGTGTAATTAGCCAATTTATGCATTCTCCTAGAGATGCACATTTAGCAGCTGCTGAGAGGGTTCTGTGCTACCTAAAAGGGACTCCAGGGAAAGGTATCTTGTTTGCTAAGCATGGACACATGAACTGGAAGCATACATTGGTGCTGACTGGGCCGGATGTATTGATAATAGGAGGTCCACTTTAGGTTATTGTGCTATGGTAGCGGGGAACATTGTATCATGGAGGAGTAAGAAGCAGTTTGTAGTTGCAAGATCCTCAACTGAAGCGGAGTACAGGGCAATGGCACATGGAGTTTCTGAACTTTTGTGGTTGAAATCACTTTTAGAAGAACTGGGTATAGATTGTGAGAAGCCAATGATGGCATATTGTGACAACCAGGCTGTACCAACATTGCATATAATCCTGTTCAACATGACAGAACTAAGCACATTGAAGTTGACAGGCATTTTATACGAGAGAGAGTTGCCTCAGGCGAAGTCTGCCTACCATTTGTTGCTTCCGAAGAACAGTTGGCTGATGTTTTGACAAAAGGTGTTCCTAAAGGAAAGCTGGTTCACTATATAAGCAAGCTGGGTATGATTGATATCTATGCTCAGCTTGAGGGGGAGTGTAGAGAGACTAGGCCGAATGGGCCCTAGTCCTTTAGTGTCATTCTTATTAGTTCCTCCTTGTTATGTTTTTTTTTTTATTGGGCCTTTAGCTTTTGTTTCGTTTTTTAACTTTATTGCTGATGCGGACACCTACTTAAGGGCCTTCTTGTAAACTATGTAACTTAAGTAAGTTTAATAAAAGATTAGAGTAGGGGAAAGAGGAGGTTATCGAACTCCTTTCTTTCTCCTTTCTTCTCCATTTTTCCTTCTTCTTCTTGCTGTTTTCCTCTTCTTCCTTCCTTCTTTCTGCTCTAATCTAAATATTTCTGCTAATTTTGTTGGTCTGAATCACATCTATAGGGATGGATCCTTTGGCAGAGAGGGATTTATTGCCTACTTGGCTGGGGAATTTCTTGGAAATTTTCTTTGAAGGTCAGGGGACAGGGAAATGTTGATATATTATAATGATCATTCTGTTTTGGAATATAAGAATGATGAGAAACTGAGATGCCTGGCAATGAATCCCTCTACTGTAAAGGTTTCCTATCTCCTTAATGTAGTGGTATCCGAAATTGTAACAAACCGCTGCCAGGCCTAATGAATCCATTGCCTCTTACTACTTGTTTTCTCCTCCCCATAAATCTAGGCCAACCAGCCTACTGAATCTATACTCTTTTTTGTCAAGCTTTTCATTAGGCATGGACCATGGAGTTGTTTGATTTGAATAAAGGACTGAGGAATATAGGCAATACTTTTCTTGCCATGAATGTACTAAATTAATGAACATAAAAGTGTCAGATAACTTTATTTATATAAATTTTCTGGCCGACTACCACTGAATAATGCTATGAAGCTTACCAAAAATTTGAGGGAACTGAGGCTAAGTTGCATTTTTCCAATGTGCGTAATGTTTAATACATGGGAACTTGGCCATTTTTTTTCTGTCCTCATCGTTCTAATATTTTTTGTATGTTTTGTGACATAGTTACATGCCAGATATTCCAAATGTTGTTTATTTATCTATTGCATAGATTTTTGACATTACTAATTATTGTTACTTTTGCATCATATAACCAGCTGGAGCTGGAGTCTATCAAAATGGATTATGCTAATGCACAACTAGAATGTAATGCAGCTGATGAACGAGCAAAAATATTGGCTTCTGAGGTCATTGGCTTAGAAGAAAAGGTATTTTGTTTTTTGGATTTGTAACACCATAATTGATTGAATGTGATAAAGAATGTTATTAGCAATGAGATTGCTATTCCTTTGAAGATTTCTAACCTTAATCATTTTTACTCTAGAAGAAAATGGTATTCTAAACCTATGGTTGATAAGAAGTTACATAAGAGGTGATATGCCACATAAACTTGATAAATTACAAAGACCCTCCTGAACTTTTACATTGTGGCAAATACCCCCTGACCATTAAATCAGCTGACGAAAGGCGCTAGACAAAGGCAGGCCTCTTTTTGTCTATTCCTTGCCCATTTTATGATTTTCTCCTAAACCCTAACGTACACAAACATAGTGTTGGAGAACCATTTGATGAGAACTCTGCATTGCTCTTTGCTGGAAGTTGTTTTTTTTTGATGAATAATAGTAAATTTTATTAGATTAAAAACTGATTTAGAGTTGTGAATTCATATAACATCCGAGGGAGAGGCACAAGCTGCAGCCCCTCCTTGAATCTAAGTAAAACTAGGAAAGAAAAACAGAATTCACAGCTGAGCCCAAAACAATTCTTCCCGATTTACCCCTTGCTTAGCTAAAACATCGGACAAAGTATTTGCTGATCTCCCCACCCACTGTAAAGAGACTATCATATTCCTTGTCAACCAACTGAATTTCTTCATTTCATTCTTGTAGTGCCATATAGCATCTTCAGGAATTTTCAACCAGCCCACCACCTCTTTGCTGGAAGTTGTTGCCACTATCTTACCAGCAAAGAGCTGTCTGGTACACCGTCGCTAGATATAGAAGAATCTCTGGTGATACCAAAAAAATCATTCACATCTTTTATGCTGTTACCAGAGAAGAAGGTATTTTTATCACCGTCACCAGAGAAGAACCTATGTACATGCATGCTGCACCAACTATTTTAACCATATGAGAACCAATATTTTTCAGTAATTGTTGGGTTATCAATCCGAGCAAATAATAAAAGGGCAGTTTTAGGATTGAAAAAGCTTTAAACARCCAAATGAGAATCTTTTCCAAAGTTAGCTGACGAAATGCTAACTGAGGGGGTCTTTGTTGCAAATAAAATTTCAGGGGTATTTGTCACTGACCCCTTATTACAGGGGGTCTTTGTAATTTACCCTAAACTTAAAATTTCTTTTGCTCAGTGTACTTCAAGTATTAACTGGGTAACCTAGTCAACTAGTCCACTGACTGGGCGTTTAGAGCCCCTACCAAATGTTTGATCAACTAGGTACTCAGGGGACCTAGATGTTGTGGGATATTTCCTTACACCAAACGTTTTTCTTTTACATAATCTTTATTTTTTTCCTCCTTAGCAACTGTTTGATAGCAGCTGAACTGCTGAAGTGGCTGAACTGAAAAGCTTATGGCTTTTTCTTTTAGTGAATAATTTTTAAGGAGGTTGTAGGCTCCTTAATGGCTGAAGCTGAAGTATGGTAGATTACTATTCTATTGATTATTTTATTATTTAATTTATTTTATCCTCTAAAAGACAAAGCAATAAGTCTTTCAGTTCAGCAACTTCAGCAGTTATCAAAAGGCCCTTGTTTACCAGTCATTGTCTAGAATCCATGCAGGTGATGCTTGATGCTTCACTTAAGGAGGCTCAAAACTATTTATTTATTTATTTATTTGTCTCTCTATGTGTTCTGTTTCTAGGAACCATTTTAGTGCTTTTTATTTTTTCCTTGTTTGCTGGAACACAGTTGCCGAAGAAGAAGAGGAGAAAGTTTGAGAATGGCGGCTCAAAACTATTCAGCCAACCCTACTATCATAAATATATATGTTTATCACATAGTGTTACATGAATGGACTAGAATGCCCCTGATTAGTGATGGGGCACCTAGACAAATAAAACATTAAAACATTAAACAAGTTTAGGCCCAATAACTAAGGCCCAATAACTAATGACTTAAGACCCAGCAATGACTAACATATACATTAAATCAATCGAACCAACACTCCCCCTCAAGCTAAGCATGGATGTTAGTCATGTTTAGCTTGCCAAGTAAGTCCAAGAATTTCGTTGAAGCTTGCTCTTTTGTTAGCACATCTGCAATCTGCATCTCGGACGGAGTATAAGGAATGCAGAGTTCCCCTGAGACTATTCTTTCTCTAACAAAGTGTCGGTCAATCTCAATATGTTTCATCCTATCATGTTGCACTGGGTTATTTGCAATGTTGATGGCAGCCTTGTTGTCATAGTACAACCTGAGAGGACACTCGATCTTTATCCCGAGTTCACTAAGAAGGGTCCTAAGCCACAGAAGTTYAGCAACACCATGAGCCATAGCTCGATATTCAGCCTCTGCACTTGATCTAGCAACCACATTCTGCTTTTTACTCCGCCATGTAACCAGATTCCTTCCAACAAACGTGCAATACCCAGAAGTTGACTTCCTGTCCCCAACAGAACCGGCCCAATCTGCATCAATATACGCTTCAGTTTCAATTTTATTGTGTTTTCTGATTAGAATTCATTTTCCTGGGCAAGTCTTCAAGTACCTAAGAATCCTTTCCACTGCTCTCATATGAGGGATCTTTGGAGAGTGCATGAACTGACTGACAACATGTACAACATAAGCAATATCTAGTCGAGTGAGAGACAGATATATCAACTTCCCTACCAGCTTTTGGTATCTCTCTTTATCAAGGTAGTCCTCTCCTACTGATTCCTGTAGACCATGGTTCTGTTCTATTGGAGTATCTGCTTGCCTACACCCCATCATGCTTGTCTCTTCTAGGAGGTCAAAAACATACTTCCGCTGACATATATAGATGCCCTCTTTTGACCTAGCAACTTCAATCCCAAGGAAGTATCTCAGATGGCCCAAGTCTTTGATCTCAAACTCAGAAGTCAAGAACTCCTTTAATCTTTTTATCTCTTCCAGATCATCCCCAGTAATCACCATATCATCCACATAGACAATGAGTGCTGTAAGTTTGCTATTTTGTTTCCTTATGAACAAGGTATGATCTGCCCCACTTTGAGTGTACCCCACTTTCTTCATGGCCCCACAAAGCTTCTCAAACCAAGCCCGAGGAGTCTGCTTAAGACCATATAATGCTTTTTCAGTTTACATACTTTCCTATAAAAAACATAGCCTGGTAGAGGATCCATGAATACCTCTTCATGTAGATCACCATTTAGGAAAGCGTTCTTCACATCCAGTTGATGTAGCTACCATGAAAAGTTTGCACCTAATGACAATAAAACCCGGATTGTGTTGAGCTTCGCTACTGGAGCAAAGGTTTCTTTGTAGTCAATCCCTTCCTTTTGAGTAMACCCYTTTGCMACAAGTCTGGCCTTGTACCTTTCAATGGACCCATCCTCCCTATGCTTTACAGTGAACACCCACTTGCATCCGACAGTGCTCTTCCCTTCTGGTAAATCCACTAATTCCCAAGTCCTTGCTTTCATTTCTTCATTCATAGCCTCTTTTCATCTTGGGTCAGACACTGCCTCTAAGTACCAAGTAGGGACATGCACGGAGGAGAGAGCAAATACAAAAGAATAATAACGAGGAGATAAACGTGAGTAGGAAACAAAATCAACAATGGGGTGTCGAATAGTACAAGAACGGGTAGACTTACAAAGAGCAATTGGAATATCCAAATCAGAAGTATGTGTGATAAGATTACCTGGAGTTGCTGAGACAGGTTGATTCGAGTCCGATTCGTTGCTGCCATGAATTAGAGGCCCCTTTTTCCTTCTGTTGTAGGTGATTCTTATATCTTTTTGTTGCCTACTGGAGTCCTCAGGAACATCTGCAGCATCAAGAGTGGTAACAGGCACAAGGGAGTCTCACTAGGTTCACCCGAGATACTATAGGAGGATCAGGAGGAGATGGAAGGCCCGAGGCTGAAAGAGGCACAAAAAAGGAGGGGGAAGAATAATCCTCTTCCATCCCACTAGTCTCCCCCTGAAGAGGATTCTGGGAAGAATGAAAATAGGATTGAGACTCAAAAAATACCATCTTTTGTGACATATTTCTTCTTGGTGACGGGATCATAACACTTGTAACCCTTCTGTGTAGGAGAGTACCCTAAAATGATTCCTTTCGTAGCCCTAGGATCCAACTCGGTTTTCTTCGGATCCTTTACATGTATAAAACATACACAACCAAAGACTCTAGGTGGAAGAGGAAAGTCTGGAAGATTAGGACAAAGGATAGAGAAAGGACTGCTTGAGACCAGTATGATGGAAAGGATCCGATTTATCATACCCAACACCTTGGATGGCATCCGATTTATCATATATGATAAAACATACCCAACACCTTGGATGGCATCCGATTTATCATATATGATGCGGTAAGGACTGCTTGAGACCAGTAGTGCTTGGAAACCTTGTGCTGAAATAGTAAGGCTCGAGCGGTCTCCAATAGGTGTCTATTCTTGCGCTCAGCAATCCATTCTGTTGGGGGGTACTAGAACAAGATGATTGATGTAGCATGCCAGCATCCTCCATGAACAAGTTCAAGGATCTTTCAAAATATTCAGCAGCATTGTCTGACCGGAATTGCTTAATCTTCTTGTCAAATTGTGTTTCATTCATTTTACAAAATGCCATGGTTATCTGTTGCACTTCATCACGTCTTTTTAACAAGTAGATCTATGTGCATCGTGAGTAGTGATCAATAAAACTGATAAAGTAACGAAAGCCATCAACAGAAACAAGAGGTGAAGGGCCCCAAACATCAGAATGAACCAAATCAAAAGGAGCTTGAATTTCATTACTAGAAACTGGATAAACAGTTCTACATTGTTTTGACACTGACACACTTCACAAACTAAACTTTGACTTGAAATACCCTTGAACAATTCAGGAAACAACCCTTCCAATGATGAAAAAGGTAAATGACCTAGCCTAGCATGCYACAAATGTAACCTAGCTATTGACTCCACATTATTCTGACTACTAGCAGCAGATGTTTGTAAGGCCGAACTGATGTCTGCATCAAAATAGTAGAGACCTCCATACT